CACCTCCTCCTTGCCTGTCGAAGAGTGCTCGGTTTTGCGTCAATGATCTGACCAGTATTCTTCCTCTGTGCTCAGTTCCGACTCCACCGAGTAGTTCAGAAAAGAAAAGCAACGGCAACAAGAAGAAGAAGCAGGAAGACCCTTTTGTGGCAGCTTTTAGGAAATGCACCGAGTACACTATGAATGGTAAGTTGAGTACTGACGACAAGAACGATTACTGCAAGAATAGGACCAAGAAGAACATGTTTATTCTGTCGTGCAAGTATTCGTGCAATGTTAGAAGTTGCAATGACAAGAGTGTGTCAGTGTTGGAAGGAAGAACCGAAAGGAAAAAAAGGGTTGATACAAAATTGAATTGACAACAAATGTTGAAGAAACTAGTCTTGTTTGTATATGGATCGAGTTTTGATTTTAGAACTCTACTACTTTAAAATATGGATTTAGTCCCTATACTTCAATTTGAGATTATTTGATGCTCCTACTTCTATAATACTATATTACTATTAGTAAACCAAAATTATTAACACTTTTAGTTATTCATTTCAAAGTTCTAATAAATAATCTTCTCTAAAACGTTTGTACAGGGATGAAGCCAGAACTTAATCTGAACGAAGATCAAATGTTTTTAACAATTTAAAATTTATACATAATTTTATTTTTTGTCTGTTATCTATTTCAAAAAAAAATGATAAAAATTAGTTCTATCATTTCTATGAAATAACAAGCAGAAAATTAAAAATAAAATTAAAGTAAATAGTAAAAAATACAATTTTAAAAATGTACCAAAAACATAACTATCACATAATCATAATAAAACACATCACTCCTTCAAATCTCAAAATATATCCATGAGTGAAATTGTACTAAGTATACTAAAATTAAATATAAGATCAAAACAACAATTAATAAATATATTATTACTTAATTAGTTAACTTTAAAAATTGTCACTCAATTTAACTTGGACCACTTTAGTAAATCATTGACAATCATAATAGAAAGGGTCTTATTTTTATTGTGGAGTTGATGGTTTTATCGCAATATTTTATGTCGGAAAAAACAATACTTTACAACTTATAATATTATGTTTAAAGAAAATAAAAATTCCTGTAACTTTTAGGGTAAACTACACTTTTAATACCTAAACTATCACTTTTATTTTGTTTTGGTATCTAAATTTTTTTAAATTATATCTAACATTTTAATTAGGTTTTATTTTGGTACCTCTTCATCAAGAAACTTAATACCGAAATTGACGTATTATCATAAGATAATATCACATCATAATTGAAATAAAATTCATATCAAGAGTTTTGTTAATTTTTTAAATGACGGGTACCAAATTGAAACTTAAACTATACGTTAGACATGATTTTGAAAAAAAAAGTTTAAGTATAAAAACAGAATAAAAATAATAGATTAGATACTAAACTTGTAATTTACCCAATTTTTTTAAACAATTTTAATACTAATATAAATATTTAAATGACAAAATACAACAGGGGCCGGGGCCCCAATGGCCCTCCGCCCCTACGTTAGTATGTCGACCAAGTGCTTAAGATTATTCTTTTTAAAAAGAATACCCATCAAATCATGGTTTTAGAATCGGATCGATTAATGAACCGGTCATGTTATCGGTTTACTGGTTTTATCGGTTGAATTGGTCCGACCGGTCAGAAGAATCGGACGACGTCATAATTATTTAAAAAATTAAATAAAAATACCAAAAATATTTAATAAAAAATAATTTTTATATCACAAGTCATATTCAAAGCAAGTCATAACATATATAACTTAAAACCCATAAAATCAAGTGAAACAAAATGATTCAAATTAATTATAACATAATATTTAAGGTAAAACATATTAAATAATAAATATAACTATATAATTATAATTAAAAATAAATTTGAGGCTAAAAAAATCATAACAAAATGATATTGTTTGGTTTAAATTTTTTTAAAACAATCCCACATAGCTAAAAAACATAGAATAGAATCTCAAAAGTTTAAAGAATAAAAATATGATAATAAAATAATCTCACATGGCTAAGAAACATAGAAGAGCGTCCAACTAACTTCTATAAATAATAGAGGTAATTTGACATTCAAAATCATGGACCCTTTTGGTGAGCATTGAGTGAACTATTCTTTCACTTCAATCAAGCTCGAATTTTAGGCTTCAATCGAGCTTCTAAATTTTTTTTTGAGTTCAAGCCTTCTCGAGTTTAAGTTTCAATATTATATTTCGAGTTCAAGTTGAACTTGATAATTTTTAGCTCGTGAGTTTGAGTCGAGTTGAGCTTACTTTTAAAGTTTTCAAGTTCGAGTCGAGCTCAGCAATACTCGAGTTCGACTTGGCTCGTTTAACAAACGATGTCGTTTGGTTTAATATTTTTTAAAAAAAAAACAAAATTGGCGGTTTTTTCCGGTTTTCAGTCGATCCGGTTCGAACGGTTCCGGCCGATTCACTACTAACGGTTCAACCGATGTAGATTGAACCGGACTAGCAACGATCCCCGATTAAACCAACCTATCCGATTTTTAAAACACTGCATCAAATAACTTAATCCATTAAAAAACTTACACGTGAATTTAAAGTTAAGGGTATTTCTTTTTAGGATTAATACTGAAATAAGTACTCAAATTATATTTAAAATTAACTTTAAGTGTTTAAAGAATTTTTTTTGTTCAAAATAAGTGTCTAACATTTTCTCATTATACTTTTAAATGCCTATGTATTAACGGCCAAACATTATTTGACACGTGTCATATTTACATATTTTTTTATAAATATATAAAAAAGTAAAATTATTTTTATTATTTTAGAAAACTAAAATGTCTCAATAATATCAAAAAGACCCTAAGATTCTTAAACCCAAATCATTATACCCTTCTGCCAATTGCCATCGTTGTTGTCACTGTTGCCAACTGTATACCCACCGATCATCAGATTCCATTACAGGCTAGTCCCTTATCGTTAACCCTAAACCAGCCATCTAATTATTTCTGCTGCTTATCGGTCACAAATCATTCAACTTTCTTCTGCTTATTTCGATTTTGAAATAAAAACGATGTGTGGCTTCTCTGGACTTTTCGTTAGGGATTTAAAGGGATGGTTGATAGCGAGTTCCATCGATGGTGGGCGGGTTCGTCAAATTTGGGTTAGGCTTTATGGGTTTTATGAATCTAGTGCGTTTTGCGAAAAATAATAAAATATAGGAGCTTTTTTTATTTTTATTTTATAAAAAATTAGATCATATGTCAAACATTGATTGTTTGATTGATTTTTAATAATTTTTTTAATAGTTGTTACGGTGTAGTCACCTAAAATTACAATATTAAAAATACTAGACACATATTTTGAGTGAAAAATCTTTAAAAATTTAAAGTTAATTTTGGGTATATATTTTGGACGTTTATTTTTTATTTAATTTTTTTTGCATGAACCAAGTGACTTCGCGATAAAAGAATTGTTGTTATTCCTTGAGGGTATGGGTTCGAGTACCATAGATGCCAAGGGTATGAACGTTTAATATCAAAAGTTGAAAATTATCTTTGAAAGATATTGTCTTGTACTTACCTCATATTAATAAAATAAAACTTATTTTTTTAAATAATATATACATCAGCACTTTAATGAGAATGATTAACGGAACTGTTAACTATTTACACACACTAATGACTTTGTAAGAGTAGAAAACAAAATTATGTTTGAATTAAAATAAAAGGATTAAATCACAATTTTGAATAGTATATTGACCAAAACCTTCTATATGATGTCATGTTGGAACTGTTTTCGTGCTGATGTATGATAATCAATTTGCCAGCTGAACACTGGTTGCCAAATTGAAGATATTTGTCAAATTTTGTTGCATTCCCGATCGAGTTTTTTTCTTCCATTCAATTTTCAAAGTTTGACCTTAATTAATTTGAATCGATCCTGATCGTACATTTAATTTTTATGGGCGAGTTTCTCGACAAAAATTTTCTGTATACATAATTACTCAAACTTAAAATATTGCTTAAACGATATCAAGTTACCTACCGGTTAAACTAATAAGTTGATTTTCCGATGGAATTTTAATCTGTTAAAAGCTGTGATAATCCAAATGGTAAAAAACAAATCATTTAGAATTTTGTGATTGTCCTGCTAGGCCACTAGTTGTTAGTTTTGCCGATGTGCACCGATTTTCAATTTTCTAAACCAAAATCTGTCTTCAAGTCATAACGTGCAAACAAGGCGACAAAGTTGGATTTGACTAATTTTTAATATAGTTAATTGCATAATATATCCCAAAACTATAACTCTCAATCAGAATTGGTCTTTAAACTTTTAAATATTTCAATTTCATCTGCAAACTGTGATCCCATTCTAAATTAGTTCTTAACCTTTTGAACATTCTAATTTCATTCCTAAACTATAGACTTCTTTCAAAATTAGTCACCAAACTTTTGAATATTCCAATATCATCCTCAAATTAATCTAAATATGTATTTAGTTTCAACCATAGTTTAACCTAAATTCCCTCTATATATATAATAATATAACTTGACCTAACGAGTTTATTAACAAGGGATGTGATTAGTATATACATACAGTTTGAGATGAAATTGGAATTTTCAAAAAGTTTGAAGACCAATTTGGAATGAAGATCATAGTTTGGGGATGAAATTGAAATATTCAAAAGTTAATTTGAGTACTAATTTAGAATGACAGACATAGTTTAGGGATGAAATTAAAACATTTAAAAGTTTAGGGACTAATTTGAAATGGAGGTCATACTTTGAGTACAAGTCATAAAATTAACTCTTTAATATGATTTTGTGATCCCTAGTCATACCGTGCAAAGCTGCTGGCAAAGACTGCAAGGTGCACCAGTGACTAATGTGTCTCTACATTACGAGTCAATATATGATGTAGACTCAAAAGACTTGGTCTTGCAAATTCTGTTTAAAAAACTTAACCCCAAAATTATTTTCTTAAGCTACAATTACAAGGAAACTGCGTGATCATACATTCATAAATCATCAGCCACACGAAAACCTTTGCCATAAACAGCCTAACCAAATCATCTCATCACTGAAAATGAACCCCTCCCAAGTGAAAGTGCCCTTCTCTTGGGAAAACAAGCCAGGGATTTGCAAAGAAACAGGCCAATTACAAGTGTTTGAAGAAGATTGCAGCCTGCAAAAGCTACCACCTCCTCCATGCCGATCCGAAAGCGGCAACATATCGATGCATGACATCGAAATCCCTCTCCCTCCATGTGTTTTTCAGCCCCCTTTGAGAACTTCATCAGGGAGATCACTCAAGAAGACTGAGAATGATCCCTTTTTGGCTGCTTATAAAGAGTGCACCAAGAGCACCAAGAAAGGTAAAAAAGATGGGTCTGGTTTAAAGAGATTATTCAGTTTCTCTTGTAAACGATCATGCAGTGTTAGGGATGATAATATCGTTAGGGTTTCTCAGCTTCCTCTTGATCAGAGAGACACTGATTTAGGTATAGAGATGGGGAATTGTTGTTTGTGAACTTTGACTGGTTCAACTTCAACATTGTGTTTCTTGGAATTTCACCCTTTGGTTTTTATTTGTTTGTATGGAATTCTTGAAAAGTGACTTACTTTAGTTATTTCTTGACTTTCTACTTCACGTATGCTAAATAAACATGGAAATCCAAATGGGGAAAAAAATTTGTTCGGCGTACAAGACGGGGTCAAAATCAAAGACCTGAGCAAATGGGGTATCCTTGTGGTAGATATCTGTTGAAATGGAAGAATTCGATAATTTTAGTACATTTATCAAATGGTTGAGTCATACATTCAAGTTATAATCTGAAAGATGCATTTGGATAAGAGAAAAATCCTACTTTTAAATAAATAATAGATTTTGAATACCAATAATTTTAAGTATGAATCTAATTCAACTCGATTTAAATAAATTATAATAAATTATCAGTTGCGAAATATAAAATTAATTTTCAATATTTTGATATTATTGGTGTCAATACCCCTATTCTGACCAAGTTAGTCCTAGGACCAAGTTTAGATTTGTAAAATCAGGCTCTTATCCAATTTTGAGCCCAAGCCTACATTTAATATGTCCTATCCAACACTTGCATGAATTTGGGTTCGTACTCGGTCTCTCATGCTTGATAGAGTCTATAAACCCTAAATCCCACGCAAAGAAGTCTAAAATAAATATGAAGAGAAAACAAAAAACATAAAAAAAATGGAAGGCGTACCTTTAACTTTATATTCTTTAGCGATTAAGATTGACGTTTGGAGATCCAAAAGACCAAAAAAAGAGTAAAACATGGAGTTCGACTACTTAAGGCTTCCTCTGATTTGATGTCTGGATTTTAAAATTTACCTTCAAATTTTAAAATCCTCTTTTTTAGATCTACTAGAATACATTTAAATTTTTAGAAATTTAAGAATATTTTTATTCAAGAAATAGAATAGGATAGACATAACGATAAAATTAGTCCCTAACCTTTACCTAAACGATCACTTGACTGCATTGTCAATCAAACGAATAGCAACTTAGATCCAAATAAAGAAAATTAAAAGTTTGGGTTTAGTTTCACAAACTTTAAAGTAGTTTTGGGAGAAAATAATATATGATAAAAATTAGGAAGATGAGATAATTAGTTTGACTTTATCATCAGTTGGAGGAAGTTACTGACATGATAACGATAATGACAATGACAATGGTGCATAGGTTTTTCAGTTAAGTTTTGGACGTTTGATTAAATAAAAAAAGAAAAATCATTTAATGGTGATAATGATTAGAGAAAGTCGTTCAAGTAACGACGTAAATGGTGATAGACAGAACAACTATGGTTCCTTTGGTTTATTCAAACGAACAGAAAAAAAGGTGAAGTTTAGAGATAAATTTTTATAGTGACTAAATTTTAGGGGTTAAATTAGAACTTAAACATTATTTAACATGCCATATCAAATGGGGTAACGATGTGTAATGACCAAAATGTAACAATTCGATTGTGTTAGTGATCAAAATATAGTCTTTTTAAAATCAAAGACCAAAAGTAATAAAATTGAAATGAAATTGACCGTTCTTATTGTTTACTCAATAAAATAATCTTCTAGTAAAATTTTTCCCAAAGAAGAAACATTTTTCTTTCTATTCAACATATCCCTCCTCTTAAACCCTAGCGCCTAAAATTTCGCTACTGAGATCTAAGTTCTCCGCAAATTGTGTCACGATATTAGAAGCTAATTAGGGTTTTGGAGATTGGAGAAAGAATTGGATAGTTTAGTGGTCAAAGTCTAAAATTGAGAAAAGTTTAGGGAGCAAAATAATAATTTTCCCAAAAAAATTCTTTTTCCATAAATGGATAGTTTACTCTTGAAAGTGGAGTATTATAAAAAACAGATTCTTAATCCGAAATTTGTGTTAAAAGTTATAAAGTGTTAAAGTCTGATAAATATTTGGTAAATCATATCGAATAGAAATTCTAAGATAATTTGAAAGATGATAAATTAAGCCTAAAAATATTATTTCCACAATTCAAAATGATGGAAAATAATATGAATCATTAGATTTGAGAATTTATTTCCTTGTTCAATTTGGACCGTTGGTTAAAATGACAAGATTGAAATTCTTGGGAAGTTGCACAGATAAAATGGTGAAGGGTGAATTATTTTGTTCATATTTGACTTTTGGAAGATGATAAGGGTTATGTGGCTTGGTATAAAGGTAATTATAATGTTTCATTAATGGTAAAATTGTCATTTCATAATTAAATGAATTTTAAATTCATTTAATCTTAATAAATGACAAATTAACATGAAATTAAGCTAAAATTTCATGTACGCTTGTTCATCTTTTTCTCTCCAAGATGTGTACCCCAACCCTAGGTAAGAGAAAAATTTCTTTTTCATTTTTGAGCAATTTCCTTTGGATTTTTGATTAAGATGTGAAATAGAAAATTTTTCTATTCGAAAAACACTATCATTTGGTACCATTTATGCATGATAATCCTGCTTGAATTCAAAGATCCCAAATTCTAGGGTTTAGGTTCATATTAGGTTTTATGGAATTGATGATGGATTTTGAGGTTGTAGAATCATTTCCAGGCTTGTTTGATAATTAAATCATGATCAAACCTCCTAGAAATAATTCCTTGAGTTTCGACCTAACCCTAAAATTAGGGAAAGTTTATGCTTTGATGAAATTTGGTTAAGGGTTTGATTGTTTAGGTTTTTAAATGTTGAATAGATGTTGATTTCATGCTCGAATCGAATTAAAACCAAGTGAAATCATGGAACCTTAGACTTGTACTATTCAGCCTTGGCTTTTGAAGATGAGAAAATTTATAGAAAAATTATGTAGGGCATGAAATGATGTAGGAAGTATTCTACAAACCTTATAAAACTTTGGGGACCATTCTATAATTTTATGAAAGTTGGGGACCTAATTGACAATTATGGAGACGTAATAGGTTGATGTGTAATTGTTCAAGAGTTGTTGTACTATGCTGGAAATCACTGCTTGAGTGTTGAATTTGATGTTAGAAAGTGAAATTTGATCAATTTGGAAGCTTGGAAAGTTTGGTGATTAATATGCATTATTCGAATAGTTTGGGATGTTTAATTGTAATTATGCCTATGTAAATGTACTTGGCTGGTAATTATTTCAATACTGGAATTTTAGTATTGAAATCTAAGTGAGTAAAGTGGTGAATGACCATTTTACCTAAATTGAAAAAGTTGATGCCAATATTAAAATAGTTCCTAAAATGTTGAAGTATTTTGATATCGAATAAGTTTCAAATATATTTTATCGATTGTTGTTATTGGAATTTAATTATATTTGTACAATACTACATATGTTTCAATATGTAATAGTGACTTTGTACACGTGATCGAAGTGAATCTAATATAAAAAGGAGTAAGTAAGAAACTTAGTGAGGCTAATCTTTTGAAATATATAAAGTGTCAATGTAAGTGCAATGCATGCATGAAATTATACAGGGATGTTTTATACATCATTACGAAGACTTGCGATAAGTCTACCTTGTTTATGTTAGCATGATATTTATGTCATTTAACATAAATTTGACATGTTTTAAATATGTCAAGAGTGAAATATAAATGCATTGATCACTTGTTGATATATTTAAGTGAATGCTATTTTGGGATGAACTGCCTAATGTTAAATGATATTGTTATATATTTTCCGTATGGAATAAAATAGACTATAAGCCAAAAAGGTCATTGAAGGACAAGGTATAGTTGACATACCATAGAGTCTAGCAGCTGCAGGTTTGATTTAACACTATAGTGTGTAAGGACACCTAGTGCAGGTGGTGGGAACGACCTTATGTGTCACAACACTACGGTGTAGTTTTTTTACTATAATACCCAGGGTCTTCATAGGATTATAATTTAGGCTATGGTTTATTTGTAATAAATTATATGTGTTAATTATAACATGTCTACTCTGGTAACATGTTGAAATATGCAGGTTAAATGATCATATCGTATTTAATAATGACATTTGATTGCATACATGTGATGTATTGCACTTGTTGAGTTAATCAATCGACGAAATCGGCCAAGAGGGGGGTGAATTGGCAATTAAAATTTTTGTGGAAGCTTTTGCAGAAAATTGAAAGTAATTGCACAGCGATTTAGAGTGGTTCGACTTTCTCAATCAAAGTCTACGTCCACTACCTTAGCTATCCACACTAAGAATTTTCCAACAAATTCACTAATTTGTTCTTTCTTTTGAGGCCAAAGAGATAACCTTACAACTCCCTCAAGAATATACCCCAATTCTTGAGAACACTCTTTCTCAAAGAGAAGATTACAAATTTGCAAACTTACAAGGAAATCCTCACAAGGTAGATTGTTTGCACAATTCTAGAACAAAGTAAAGAACACTAAAAAATGAATACAATTGAGTACAAGTAGTGTTCTTGAAAGAAAAATGAATATTGAATGAAAAATAGGCTTGAAATGCTCAAACTTGAGGTTTTATGCTTTCTCTTTGATTCTCTCTTGATTCTTGTTGATTGTTGTTTCTTTTTGTTGATCAATGGCTTCTAAGCTTGTTTAAATACACCTTCAAATGATTCTAAACGTTGGGGATGATTAATGGAGTCAATAGAGCCGTTTCTTTCTTTGATGATAGGTCTCCAACGTCATGTTCATCGTCATTTATATTTATAATACCTACATCATCATTCAAACAAGAATCCTTCCTCGGAAGGGGATTATCATCGAAAACAACATGTATAGACTCTTCTACAACTAAAGTTCTTTTATTAAATATTCGATAAGCTTTAGAATTTAAGGAATAACCAAGAAAAATTCCTTTATCCCTTTTAGCATCAAATTTGCCAAGATTGTCTTTACCGTTGTTTAAAACAAAACATTTACATCCAAAAGGATGAAAATAGCTAATGTTAGGCTTTTTATTTTTGAAAATTTCATATGGAGTTTTCTTTAAGATTGGCCTAATCATTACTCGATTTACAACATAACAAGCGGTATTTGTGGCTTCC